TCCCAGAGCTCTGCTCATTGTGTGTGTGCACAGAGAGCTCATGGCAGTGCTGGCCTGTGCCCTGTGCCAGTGTACCCTGGGCTGGGCAGTGCAGCCCCTGTGCCCTGTGCCAGCCTACCTTGAGCTGCTGGAAGTACCCATGTGCATCCTGTGGGCTGAGGAACAGCCCCTGTGCCCTGTGACAGTGTACCCTGGGCTGGGCAGTGCACCTCTGTGCCCTGTGCCAGCCTACCTTGAGCTGCTGGAAGTATTCATGTGCATCCTGTGGGCTGAGGAACAGCCTCTGTGCCCTGTGCCAGTGTACCCTGGGCTGGGCAGTGCAGCCTCTATGCCCTGTGCCAGTGTACCTTGAGCTGCTGGAAGTATTCATGTGCATCCTACAGGCTGAGGAACAGCCCCTGTGCCTTGTGCCAGTGTACCCTGGGCTGAGGAACAGCCCCTGTGCCCTGTGCCAGTGTACCCTGGGCTGAGGAACAGCTTCTGTGCCCTGTGCCAGCCTACCTTGAGCTGCTGGAAGTATTCATGTGCATCCTGTGGGCTGAGGAACAGCTTCTGTGCCCTGTGCCAGTGTACCCTGGGCTGGGCAGTGCACCTCTGTGCCCTGTGCCAGCCTACCTTGAGCTGCTAGAAGTATTCATGTGTATCCTACAGGCTGAGGAACAGCTTCTGTGCCCTGTGCCAGCCTACCTTGAGCTGCTGGAAGTACTCATGTGCATCCTACAGGCTGAGGTACAGTCCGTGTGCCCTGTGCCAGTGTACCCTGGGCTGAGGAACAGCTTCTGTGCCCTGTGCCAGTGTACCCTGAGCTGGGCAGTGCTCCTCTATGCCCTGTGCCAGTGTACCCTGAGCTGGGCAGCCCCTGTGCCCTGTGCCAGTGTACCCTGGGCTGAGGAACAGCCTCTGTGCCCTGTGACAGTGTACCCTGGGCTGAGGAACAGCCCCTGTGCCCTGTGCCAGTGTACCCTGGGCTGAGGAACAGCTCCTGTGCCCTGTGCCAGCCTACCTTGAGCTGCTGGAAGAACTCCTCTGCCTGCTGTGGGCTGAGGTGCAGTCCCCGTGCCAGCAGTGCCCGCAGTGCCCGTGCCACATCCCGTGCCATGCGCACGTCCCCGCACACGAACACGTGGCCCTGCTGCTTGTGCAGAGCCTCACACACCAGAGTCTCCAGCTGCCTCTGCAGGATGTCCTGGACATACACCTGGAAACACAAGAGCATTGTCACACGGGGCTGTGAAAAGCTTTGGTTTCAGCTCTTCTGAATTCTGGGCACTAAGGCTCMAAATGCCCCATCCATCCCAGCTCCGTGCTGCCTCTCAGCAAAGGTGGAAAATGTCTTCAGGCTGCCTTTATGAGCCCCTAATTTGGAAGCTGGGCCTGTGTCTTGATTAAACCTTAGTAGACAAAAACTCTTCTATCTGGCAAAGCCTCCCAGCTGCTGGGAGAACAGGCGAGTTAAAAAGACTCAGTAATAACTTCAGGTGAGCTAAAAAGAGGATAACTTCAGTGCTGTTGTTTTGTCTGGTCAAGATTTCTTCTACATAAAATTAATTTCCATGGTCACTGTGTCATTGAAATGGGACAAATGGCCAGAGCCATCTCATTTCTAGCTCAGGGCTAATCAAATCCTGCAAAACCCAAAGGTTTCTGAAAACGTTCCAGTTCTAGTTTCAAAGGCTGTTTGCACTGGATGTGGTAGTGAGGGGTTATATTTTTGTACTGCTTGTGCTGGAGTGCACAGGGAGATTTTCCTTCATTTGAAGGAGTGGGGCCTTTTGTTCCTGCTCACACTGAAGCAAAATGCTAACATTTTTTTTAGAGAACAGAGTCCAGGGATGATTGTGGAGGAGTTAACCCTTAAAGAACAAGGACCCAGCCTGACCTTAGCTTGGCCAGGCAGTCTGGAGTAAGCTGTGTAGACATTTTTCAGGACCCCCTTCCTCTTCATCTCCTCCACTTCCTCTCGGTAGATGTGATCCAGCTCTGGCTGCCGACAGCCRAACAGCAACGTCATGTCCCCTGCCCTGAGCCCTGCAAAGGGTGTGRGACACCTTTGTGTTTGTCACTGACACACAGAACTGGCACACAGCCTGTGTCCCCATGTCCCCAAACACCCCACA